TACTAACCAGGGTTGGCCCTGCTTAGCTTTCAAGATTAGACAAGACCTGGTGCCTTTTTAGGGTACTGGGAGTGGTACTTAGTAGGTCAAGTCACATGCTCTCATCCTCAGGGGAAGGCAAAGGCAAATCTCCTCTGAACAAATCTTGCCAAGAAAACCTAATGATTGGGTCACCTTAGGGTCACCATAAGTCAGAAATGACTTGAAGGCACACAACATACACACACACACTGAAGTAGGACCACACTCAACACCACTCCTCCCCCATATGATAGCAGAGGCTGGAAAGAAGTATTTGTTATTGAAATGTCCCTGTGCTCTTTCAAATTTCTGCTACACTACATCTGCAACTTTAAATGTCCTTGTTTGACAACTATGAGACAAGAAGGGAATGCTGTTGAGTCTATGTCAGTGTCCCTCGGTGCCTTGAGATGACCACTGTAGCAAATGAATATGTACTGTTCATTGATTTGAGCCAATAAACTGGTTCTTGGGAAGTCACATAAAATCAATCTTTCAGGATCAAACTCCAGAGCATAGAAAAGTTCCTTTCTTGGCGGTTACCTCCCTGAATCTCCAACCCAGCATCTGGAAACCTGTGTCAAAAAAGAAACCAAATACTAAGAAGCCAAACACCCAATTGCCTGCCCACACCATTTGGCATTCAAAGACACACTGCTGCCTCTGGAAGTGGCAAGATCCATTTACTTGTTTAGCCAGTAACAGGTAATAGGACGTGAATAATTCCTATCGCTGCATAAAATACAATAAATAAGAGTTATCATCATTGTGGCACAGCATTCAGGGAAACACTGAGTTCTAGGTGATAGGATTTATATTGGGTAAATGTGGTTACGGCTGGGCTCTTAAAAAGGTAAGGAAATGCTTTGCAATTTAAGGTCCAAAACTGCATAAATAATCCAGTTTGAGACCACTGTAACTTCCCTGACTCAATTCTAGGGAATTCTGGGAACTGTAGTTTTGTGAGACATTTAGCCTTCTGTCAGCTCTGGTGCCACAATAAACTACAGTTCCCAGGATTCCCTAGCACTGAGCCAGGGCAGTTGAAGCAGTCTCAAACTGGATTATTTCTGCTGTGTGTTTTGGACCTAAGGACCCAAGTGGCATAGGAGAGTGGAAGACTGGTAGAACTTTAACTGGTGGGAAATACCAGAATTGGGCATTCAACTTAAAAGCACTGAGCTAGTATCTGTTATTGCCTATGGAAGACAGTAGAGAGGGGTAGAAAGGGCACAGTAGGCACTTGGACTTTGGGCAGGTGGTCAAAAGCCCCCAATATTGATAGCTGGATAAGTAAGGAGTTCTGTAGGCATCAGCACAACAGCAAAAATAGTAAATGGGTGAAAATTTATGAGAACAGAGGAATGGGACCTGAGCCTGAAACATCCTGGATGTTTTTATATTTGATGTTACAACAGAAACCACTTCTGTGAAGTCAAACCACTCATGTTACATGAATAACAGATAAGTCCACTTCCCTGTCCTACCACAAACCCAGTGTGATTCTAATTAAAATATGAAGACTTTTACCAAGCATGTGTTTTGTAAGAGGGTCTCCCATGCAGAGACCAACAGTACGTATGAATTTTTAAAATGCTGGTTTTCGGGTAGTTTGGGAAGAAATAACACAGCAGACTTGCATCTGACCAGGCCAGTGGTGTGTCCTAATTATGAAAAAATACATACAGCATTGGTGAATTGCATTTCATGCAAAAAGAATTACATTCATTTAAGTCCTAAATGGGAAGATGTTGGTGCTGAAAACAAGGTGGGAATGTAGGACCAAAGCATCCCAGAATTTAAAATGCTTACTGGAAATAATCTTTATTATTGTTGTTGTTGTTGTTGTTATTTACTGTTTAATGTGCAAAAGGAGTTCCCAGTCTTCCAGTATTATTTGTTCAGGTCATTAATGCTCTTTATTTATAAATGTTGCAACTATGAATGAGAGAAAAAGAGCAGCAAGTCCAACATCATACAGTGCTGTTTCAACAATGGACCCTCCCATGCCTGAATCTACACAGAACAAATAAAGCAGTGGTTATTAAACTCTGTTTCAGAATACATTAAGATTCCTTAGAACAAAAGTGGACAACTGTGGTCATGCAGATATTTGAGGCCTACAACTCCCATCAGTCCTAGCCAACACAGTGAATTGTGTGGGATTATGAGAGCTGCAGTCCAAAAACACTTGGGAGGTCACAAATGCCTACCCTTTCAAGTTTATGCATTAACCACAATGTTTTTTAAGACAGATTGGGCCTTTGCAGACTGCTAGAAATAGTGCAAATTGAGTCCACTTTAACTGCCTTGGCTCAGTGCTAGGGAATCATGGGAATTGTATTTTTTTCTGCGATATCAAGCCTTCTCTGTCAGAGCTCTGGTGCCACAATAAACTACAGTTCCCACGATTCCTTAGCACTGAGTCAGGGCAGTTAAAGTGGACTCAATTTGCACTATTTTTGGCAGTCTGCAAAGGCCCATTGTCCACTGTGCAAAGCTGCGGGAGAATCTTGGGCATGTTTTACAATGTTGTCTTTGTTTACGTGAAGCAACAATAAGGTTCACCAAAGTCCACCACTTCCCACAAACGGAATTTTCCCCAGATTCTTCAGCAATATACATAAGATTTGTAGGGGAGACGTAAAAAGCACTTTCTATGGTGGCAGAGAAGTAGAAAATGGATACAGAAAGGTTCACTAAAGGTAGAAAGTTTGAAAACCATGATGCCTGTAGTATATTATGCAAGTACTGGAACTGCTTGAAACTAAAAATGTGTAGCTCTCAACTAATTATATTGCAATATTAATTATATTAAAGATGGCTTCCCCAGTCCAATCTTTCTTGCAATAACCTTCATTTAAGTGTTATCTATTAACAAATCTAAACAGTGCTTCTGCTACTTATCTACAAATTGCTTTCATTTACTGAAATTCATTCCCATGTGAAGATGTTTAATAATAATAATAAAATTTATTTATATCCCACATCTCTGCGTAACGCAACTGGTGCGACTTACATTAAAATATACCTTTTATATCCCACAATCCCACCCCCCTTAAAATACAATTAAACAATTAACAATTTAAACACACTTAAAATAATGACACCAGTAGACAATAACTGCAACAGAATCAAGGACAAGCAGGTTGGGCTATCTTTTGGTGGCCAGGATATCTATTCAGGAAGTCCCAAGTCTTGTCACGACAGGATCAATTTTGGAGAAACTCCTTATCTACAAAACCTTCTTTTTGGGGCTGGGATGTTGCTAAATGTCTCTATTTATGTGTTTGTTTTTCAGTCACTGCCAGTAGTACTACATTGTGCATGCTATGTGTAATACACATTATTTGGCGATTTGCACATGAAATCCAAGACTCACTGATTGGGAATAAATCTTACTGAAATCAACATCCTCCTAAATAAGAAAGTTCTCCTAAATAAACATTATTAGGACTGGGCTGTGATCTTCTGTTTTCTCTGTCTTTAATCTTCTGAATCTTTCTCTTGCTTTCCATTTTATTATTAGGACTGCAATTTTTAGCCTTAATTACTGGATTCATTGGTTAAACAGGGTTGGGTCTTTAAAAACAAAAAAAATCGTTCCTTTTAGCAGTACTTCTACAAAGCATGGGTGGCAGGCAAATCCTGTCTATCTCATCAAACTACCTAATATAGGAGAACAGCATTTCCCCCCTTAATGCATCATCAACAGACACAATTTTTGTGCTGTAATTTTTGTGTTTCCACAGCCAATGGCTTGGGAATTGGCATTGGTCCATAGACTTCCATTTCCAGTAGCTCTCTCCTAAGAGACCTTCTCCACTTCTCTCACAGAAAAGATGAGTGTCCATGATGACCAATGCCTGTCTTAACATAAAAACTTGAGAAACCACACACTTTAGTCAGAACTGTTTTATTCCCATGTGAATACATGATTTACATCCTTCAAACTATAAATCAATTAGAATTTCTTTAACTGATTGGTAAACCTTTTGGGATTTCCCCCCCCCCCCGAATTCAATTACGGTATGTATTTAATTTCTCACACAGAATGCCCTCCCTCTCCACAAAACCCTGTATTCATTCCCCAGCAGTGGCATGGAGAGAGCTTCTACACTGTAGAGGTAATGCAGTTTGACATGACTTTTAAGCTGCCGTGGCTTTTATCCTACAGAATCCTGGGATTTGTAGTGTTGAGGGGCACCAGCCCTCTTTGCCAGAAAAGGCTGGGATCTTGTAGCACCTTTGAGACTAACTGAAAGAAAGAAGTTGGCAGCATGAGCTTTTGTAGACTTTTAGGAAGTAGATTTTAGTTTAGGAAATCTCATGCTACTTCTTTGTTAGTCTCAAAGGTGCTACAAGATCTCTCTACACAGAAACTCCACGGTTCCATAGGATGGAGCTCCAGCATTTAAAAGTGGTATCAAACTGCACTATTGCTACAATGTAGATGCACACTGAGGTCCAAAACATACTGTAGAAATAATCCAGTTTGAGGCTGCTTTAACTGCCCTGGCTCAATGCTATGGAATTCTGGGAATTGTAGTTTTGTCAAACATTGAACCTTCTTTGTCAGCTCTGAGGCCACAATGAACTACAGTTCTCAGGACTCCTTAGCAATGAGCTGGGGAGTTAAAGCACTCTCAGACTGGATTACTTCTTGCACTGTGGTCTGGATTTGAGTCAGCGTGGTGTAGTGGTTTAAGCACTGGACTAGATCACTGAGAGACCAGGGTTCGAATCCAGGCTCGGCCATGGAAACCCAATGGGTGACCCTTGGCAAGTCCTATTGTCCCCATATGTCCCATTAATTATAGTGCATTTAGAAAATGGCCATTTTCCCCACTGACCATTTGCCACCCAGTTTTGGTGACGCCCTACAATGTTAGTTTTCAAAATATATCAAAATGAGGTTGCCACTAAGAATTCTACAAAAATAATTCTATAAAAACTGGCTTTTAGGCCTCACTATGAGAGCCAGTGTGGCGTCGTGGCTTGAGTGCTGGCCTGTGATTCTGGAGACCAGGGTTTGATTCCCAGCTATGCCATAAAACCCACTGGGTGACCTTGGGTGAGTCACACTCTCTCAGCCTCAGAGAGGATGGCCATGGCAAAACTTCCTCTGAAGAAACTGGCCAAGAAAACTCCATCACAGGGTCGCCATAAGTCAGAAACTCGACTTGAAGCCATACAACAGGGCTAGGCAACCTTTCCCCTTTAACGGCCGAGGGACTTCAGCTCCCAGAATCCCAGGAGCTATTGGCCAACATGGGACTATTGGCCAACATGGCTGAGGCTTCTGGGAGCTGAAGTCCCTCGGCCCTTGAAGGGGAAAGGTTGCCTACCCCTGCCACACGACAACAACATAATACACACACAGACACACAGAGTCTTTCCTCTAAGAGAGAGGCCTGGCCCTTTAACCCACAAAATGGGCGTGACGTGACGTCATAGAGGCCCTCCGAGGCCCTTCTGAAGTAGTTGGGCCTCGTCCCTCTCGAGCGACGCTCTAGGTTCCAAGTCCTTGGGGCGGCGCGAGGGCCACGCATGTCCGTTAAGTCCTAGCTGAGCGCCCAAGGTCAGGGCTTGGCCCGCGCCAACGGTTGCCAGGCTGTTGCATCATCCTCCCCGCATGACTCACTCACTTAAGGACTCGTGACCCTTGGAAGGCGGGGCGGAGGAAATGGGGAGGAGGCGGAGTTTCGGGCGGAGCCACTTCCGGGTGCGACGCGGCCGCCTCCAACTCAGCGGAGCTACGTCACTCCGCGGTTGGGAAAAAGGAGGAGGAGAAATGGGAGTTAAGATGACGTCAGCGTCGGCCATTAGGCAGCGGAGGCGGGCTCTCTCTCGGCTCCACCAATGGGAAGGTGCGGCGTCGCGGATTGGCCGGAGGTGGCGCAAGGGTTGCGTCATGCGGGGGCCGCGCGCTGGAAGGACTTACCTCAGGCTCCAGAGTTGTCTTCGGCAGTTGGTGTTTGGACGCCGGCAGGAGCGCACGGAGGAAAAGGATGCTCCGCGAGGGGAGGATGCCAGGGAGAGAGCGAGAGAGGGACGGGGCCGCGGGAGAGAAGGGGCCGCGCAGGAAGGTGAGGAGCGGGGAGGGTTATACGCAGTGGTTTCAGCGCTGGGCTACTACTCGAGACCAGGGTTCGAATCCCGGCTCAGTCATGGAAGCCCACTTGGGGGAGTCACACTCTCTCAGCCTCAGAGGACGGCAATGGGAAACCTCCCCTGAAGAAGTCTTGCCGAGAAAACCCCATGTCAGCTCGCCTCAGCGTGACCAGACGTCCTCCTTTTCCAGGGCCTGTCCTCCATTTCAACCTTCTGTCAATATTTATGGGGTAGTGGTTTGAGTGTTGGGCTCTGGCTCTGGCGACCAGGGTTCAGCTCCCAGCTTGGCCATGAAACCTACTAGGTAGCCTTGAGCAAGTCACACGCTCTCAGCCTCAAGGGAAGGCCATGGCAAACCTCATCTGAACAAAATATTGCCAAGAAAACCCCATAATAGGGTCGCCGTGGAAACGCCTATGAAAGTAAGTTGGGAAAATTAGTTGACTTGAAGGCACACAACAACAAAGCAAATAATGAGGCAACAACTACTGGGTGACCAGAGGGCCTCTTTTTCCCCAGGATACGTCCTCCATTTCAGCTTTCTGTCCAGAAGGAAATTCAAAAAATCCTCTATTTTGAGCCTGACTAAGAAGCATGGGTTTACATTTGTATGAGTTCTTTTAGTTTTTCCTCTGGCCATGTCCTCCATATATATCTTGAAATGTCCTACATTTTGCAGTGCTTCCGCCCTCCTTTGAGGTTAGGAGGACATTTGGTCTCACCCTGCCTTAGGGTCGCCATAAGTCAGAAACGACTTGGAGGCACAGAAGAACAAC